GGGGAGGGGCGCCGAGCCGCCGCCGCCGCCGCCCGCGCGGCCTGAGGCGCCGCCGGGGACCGGGAGCCCGCGGCGCCGCTCCCAGGCCTCCCGCTCGGGCCGCCGGGTTATGTAACGCGTGACCTCCGCTTTCCCTCTCCGCCATGGCGCGGCCTCCCGCGCGCGCCGACCCCGGGCGCCCGCGGCCCTCCGCCTCCCGAGCCGGCGCCCGCCCGCCCGGCCATTCATTGACTGGCTCCGGCGCGGGCGGAACGCGGCCGGGGAGCCCGGGCCTCGTCCTCTCGCTTGCGCTCGGGCATCCCGGAGGCCGAGGTCTCCTCCTCCCCCTCCTGCTCGTCGCTGGCCTGTCCCCTGCAGATGCGGGACACCTGTCCCCGAGTGTCCTTACGGGGGCCGCCCCACGCTCGCGGCGCTGCTGAGACCGCCGTGGCGGTCCGAGGACGGGGCTCTTCCCTCCCGTCCCCGCTCTGCGGAGCCCGACCTGCCTGTAGTTGCGGTCCTTAATTGTGTCAAAAGCACTACAGGTGATCCACGTCGAATTTGGGCCAGGCGTGCAGTAGAAAGGGCATGGGGAGAAGGGAGACGCATCATAAAAGGGGTTGTACCTGCTCAGGACTGTGAACAACTCTTAAAATTATGTGTCTGGGCTCTGGCTCCTCTAGTCCCCGCGAATGTCAGTTCCCCCTGTACGGGGAGGGAGACATACATCTTGCTCCTGTGCAGTGCGCGCTAGCTCAGTTTACCGCTCCCTCCGTTGGCCTTTCCAAACAGGCGTCTGCTTTTCCGCACCGACAGGGCTCTGCCCAGGCAAATGCTGCTAGGATACCCTCCCGCTGCCGCCTGTGCTGGACACTTGGAAGCTCACCTGAACCTCTCCACCTGGGAATGCGGTCTACAAGAGTACACCCCTGCCCTGCTTAGCCTAGGTACTGGCCATTTTCCTTGAATTACTGTTTTCTTGTTTGTGTCTTGTAGTTCTCAGTTTGAGGTCAGTCTGTACCGTATTCATGTATCTTGTCATGAAACTTTACTCCTTTTTATGGTAAATAATCCGTATTTGTTAATTTGTTAAAATGGGAAAGTCACTTTTAAGATTAATTTCTACATGGTCTCAGGTAGAAAAATAAAAAATTTCAAAGTTAATGTGCTTAAGTATGTAACCCCATTTCCTTAACCCCAACCAAAAACTAAGATTCTAAATAGGAAAAACAAAACTGTTCTCAACAACCAGTTGATGAGTTCCAATACATACACCTATATTTAACAGTCAGATATCTGAAAGATCAAAGCATTTAAATACAGGTTTGAATTTTGTCCCCGCCAGTTGTCTGACCTTGGACAAGCTTCTCGTTCATAGTTGGGAGACATTTTCCATCTTGGGTAGCCTACTAATAAATTAGTTCTTGAGTGTTTTCTGTGGTAAACTTGGAACAGTGAACTGAATAGGGCCTGGTGCGCTAGAGAGAGGAAGCCTGAAAAAACTAGCCCCAGGAGACCTTAGGTACTTTGCTTACAAGTGAGCAGATCCGGAAGTTTTGCTCTGATTCTCTGCTTCCTTAGAATGTAAGGGATTGTAAATCGTGGGGTAAACCAGGCTCTGTGGCACACACTATTAATTCCAGCACTAGGTAGGCAGAGGCAGGTGGATCTCTTGGGAGTTTGAAGCCAGCCAGATCTACATAGTGAGGTCCAGGCCAGTTAGGGTCTGCATAGTCTTAAACAAAAATCAAAATAAAATCACAGGGTAAGTTAAACAGAATATTGAAAAACAAACAAAGAAAAGACTTACTTTATACTTTTCTTTCTTGTAATAACTGAGCTAACTGAAATGTTAATGTGGTGACTAATGGGTATTTAAAACAGCTTAATTTTCTCTGACCGCAACTTGAGAGTATGAGAAGAGTGATAAATCACATCAGTTTGGAGACAAGTTGCGGGTTCTTTTAGTATCTCATCTACTTGTAAACCACACACAAATTCAAGTCTAGAGTTCTAGGTTGTTGGATTGCTGCCTTCACTGGTGTCCTTATTTCTCTTGCTGTTCCTTACAAAACATCAGAAGGATCTTTTGAAAAACAAACAAAAAACCTTGGGTTGACCTTTTCTTGCTTAAACTCCAAAAGTTCTGGGTTACAAAGAGAATTGAGTCTAATCCCTTCCCCTCTCCATCAGGGCAGCTGCCAACTTCACCTTAGCCCATGAGTCTTCAGCATTTGGCTTTAGGATAGCAGCCAGGTGGTCAGGCTGGGCGCCCTTCCTGGTGGTGGCAGCTGTTCTCAGCTTCTGTTGCTGCTCTTCTCTTGAGGGGACTTCTGCTTCCTAAAGCAGAAGCAGCTCGCTCTCTTCCTGTTGTTGACTATTTTGTTTGCTTTTAAATGAAATTTACATTTTATTTTTGATTTTGCTCTTTTTCTCCTTATTATCAGATACACTTTTCACTTAATTATTCCCATTAGACTTGTTGGCTCTCTCTTCGTAACTACAGGGTAGAGCTCTTATTAGACTTATTTGTAATTTTATCCCTACCTGTGCCTGGTACCTAGTAGACTTGTAGCAACAAATGTTAACTAAATGAATGCTGCAGTTAATTCGAACTTTTGGCAACTTGAGTCAGGGCCTGCCTGCTGCCGTTCACTGACGGCGTGACTGCACGGCTAGTGACTTCGGGGCCTCATTTTATTCAGCTGGGCATGATGGCTGTAGTATTGCCTAACTTCAGCATTACAGTAATTAATACGTGTTAAAGTATGTAGGTCTGAGTTTCCAGAGGTCCAAGTCTGAGGTCTTGCAGTTACTCTCCACCTTAGCTTTTGACACACAGTCTCTCCTTGCACCTGGAGCTTGCCATTTGGACTAGGCTGCTTGGCACCTAGGCTCTGCCTGCCTCTTGTCACCCCAAAGCTGGAGTTAGAAAGTGTGCTGCATTGTCCCAGGTTCTCTGTGGATAAGGATCTGAACTTGGGTTCTCGTGCTTGCAAAGCAGGCACTTTGCAGGCTGGCCTCAGACTGGAGATCCGCCTGCCTCTGCCCCCCGAGGGCTCGGATTAAAGCGTGTACACCAACATTGCCTGGCTTTTGGCAACATTTTTTATTGTTGGCATGTGATAAAATTGACTTAGTTTTTATATTTGGTTTTTTTGAATGAAAATTTGTTGGCTGCATAAATTCTTTTTAAATAGTTTCTCTGTATGATGATTGTAAAATTAAACACAAATAAAACTGCTGTGAATGGTGGCCTGTCTGTAGCTTTAATCTGTATGTAAGATTTTTTATTCTTCGATTTTAAGAAGAGGCAGAGTGATGATCCCTGCAGCCTCCAATCAGAGTGGCTTTCATGGGTTTTGCATGAGGCTCTACTGGAAATGTGATGAAAGATTTTGCGGGGTCTTCTTGTTTTTTGACGGGAATCCTTGATCTCGTGGAAGTCTGACTTTGTAGTGTTCAGGAACGGGAAGTGTTTTATCGTCTTTAGTGTGACGTTTTCTGCCATCTTGCACAAAGAGTTTTCCCTACATGTTGTATTTTGAGTCTCCAGTTGAAGCTGAAAGCCACCTAGCAATGTTGTGCACACCTACCTTTGTCTCTCTAGTTTTTAAGCGTTTATGGAAATGAGACCATACATATCTACTGTAACGGTAGATACTTTGGGCTAATGCATCCTGAGTTATTCTTAGAGACTTAAGGCTCTGCCTATGGTGCTTATAACTTTTAAAACTATATGTTTTTACTTTGCGTTTGTCTTTAGCAAAGTGGCTTTTTGTGATTTTGTTTATACTCAGTCTCAACTTTAAGTCACGGGATTCTAAGCCTTGTTCCTTAAACATAAAAAAAAAAAAAAAAGAATATGAGCTACTGCTTGTCTTTTTAGCATTTGTTCCACAATTTAATGATTTGTAAATTATTATGTATGGACTGTGTTACAGGGCCCTTTGCTAAGTGGTCTCACATTTAATATTCAAAAGCACCACAGAGAGTCAGCACATTTATAAAGAAACAGATTTGTAAGTATGGTAGTACTTGCCTGGGCCACATGGTACAAAAGGAACCAGGATTTTTATCTACTCCTCCCCGCCTCATGACCCAAGGTCCTAACTCTTGTAAGCTACATTTTAAACGGACAGAGTTTTTATTTTGTCCTATAATTTGTAAGTTTATGTCCCTCCTAATTACTGGCCGATTTTCATTATTTCTGACTAAGAAGAGGTGGTCTGGTCCTTGGAAGCTGGAGTTACGCATGTTTGCAGGATGCTGGGATTTGGCCTCCAGTTCTCATGATTGCACTGCAAGCTCTTTTAAGCATGGGTCCTTCTCCAACCCCAGAACTGTATTCATAAGGAGTTTAATACACATTTAAAAGGGGGACCTTAGGGGATGGGAAACACACATAGAAGCTAACAGGCATGGGAGGTAGAGAGAGGTATGCAGGTGAGCTTTGTGAACCTACGACAGGAGTGAGTGGGCTTCTCAAGAGAATGTCAGCATTTAAATGTGTTAACTGCTATGTGGGTGATTTGTGGCTTTAAAAGTTACATGGTGCTGAGTAATACATTCTTAGAAAATTGGTGCTGGGAAGTAGTTAAACATTTTGTCTTACAAATTTTGTGCTTTCTTTTTGGCCAAGAAAAGATGATTTGAAAAACCTTTTATTTTTTAATTACATTAATTTATTTTGTGTGCATATGTCTATATGTGTTAGTGTGCATATATAAAGGTCAGAAGACAATTTGTGAGAAGTTGGTCCTCCTACCATGTGGGATCTAGTGATGAAACGTGGATCCTTATGCTTAATGACAAATGCTTTAACCCCCTTTTAAAAAATTAAATTTATGTGTGTGTGCGCACACGCGGTCCTGTGTGTGGAGGTAAGAGGACAGCTGGTAAGAGTCAGGATTTTCCTTCTGCTGTGTAGGTCCCACGTATTGAACTTACTGCGTCAGTCTTGGCTGTAAGAACCCGTGTCTATGGGGCTTTCTTACTGACTCATGAAAAACCGTTTTAAAGGCTGAAGGGCTCTTTTGATTGTGCTTTCGTATGTGGAAGCCACAGGGTAACCATGGGCGTGTTCTTTGGGTGCCATTCCCCGGCTCCTCAGCACATGTGTGTGTCACCAAACCAGTTGTTGTTACTTTACTTGGGTTCTGGTGTTTAGACCAGAGTTTAACATCTGAGTAGCCGGCCACATGGCTTTCCATTTGAGCAGGGGTGGACAAAAAAATGTCAGTTATTGGTGTGAGTGTTGTACTTGACTGCACTTGTGTCTACTATGAAAGTGAACCAGAATGTTGCTTCTTGGCTTCGTTTTTCTTGATCACACTCAAGGTTTAAGAGGAACTTCTTAAAGGTCAGTCATATAGCAATTCTCTAAATCCCATCATTCTCTAATGATGATATAATTCTCTAAACTCCATTGTTCTTACATCTGAGATTACTAAGAATGGACTTAATTTCATTTTTGCCTCTTAGGCACAGTCTGACTTATGTAGCTGAAAGTTTGATTTAGTTTCTTTGGGGACAGAATCTTTTTTCCATTGTACTGAGAATTGAGCTATGAAGCATATTAGGAGGCAGCTGCTCTTCCATCGAGCTGCAGACTAGTAAATCATTAACTGCTTGTGCAACCATGGGGAAAGGCTTTACTTGTGAGTGTCAAGGGCCTTCTGTCCTGTCCTTTCCAAAAGGCCCTGTTTCAGAGTAAATAGCTGTCCCTGTCTTAATGTGTAATCTGAAGGGACTGCCTTCTCGTGAGGACTATAACATTCCAGTAGAATCTATTACAGGGACTGATACTTGTTTCAGTCAAACATTTCTTTACATAGCCTCTGTTGTAAGTTGGGTTTATACTTTCTGAATTTTAAAAAACTCAGTTGTCTGGAAATTTTGATATTTGGAATTTCTTTGAATCAAATTTTTTTAAATCTAGATAATT